GGGCTTCTCATTTTCTCTTCCCATAGGCAAATGAACTCATTTTACAAATGGAACTGGGGCTCAAAGCCTAGAAATTTGCTCAAGGCATATAGCTGGGAAGTATTAATAGCAACATCAACTTTTCCATTCCAAACCACCAGACCATGGGGCTGACAGGCTCACAGCCAGCAGGGGCTGGAAGGCCAGGTAGCACAGGCCCAACCTCTCTGAACAGCTCAAGCAGCACCTTGGCCTCATCCTCTGAAGCCCATATCCTTGGATTTTAGTCTTAAGTCTGACCTGGTCACCTCGTGGGATCAAAAGGAGGGTCTGTGAGTAGGGGGCAGAGGGCCAAAGCCCACCTAGGAGTCTGGCCTGCTAGATGCCCCAGACAGAACAAGCAATGGGTTTCTGTACGTCTCACTATTTGTGCAATACCTTTTGTGTCTGTGACTGATGATGCCGACTAGTTCTTTTGAAACCCCCTCCCCATCCTCCACCCCAAACAAACTGCAAAGACAAAGTACAACTGCCGAGCTTGAGTCTGGTAAATCAAGACAACTGACACCAGTAGATGAGAGGGAACCAGAGAATCACACAACACAGGAAGCTTTATTCACCCACTACTGCTCCGGACACCAGCAGGCTGGCACAGACTTCTCACTTAAATATGCTGTCCTCTTGGGCTGAAAGATTAGAGAGAAAGCACATACATTATTACACTCTTGGGCAACTGGAAAGTACTTCAGACTTCCAGCCTTTAAATGATTCAATATCCACCTCTAGCAGAACTCAGCCATGCCCTACTTAAACTGTTCTCCTTTGTCTCCTTATCCCTGCACACCCGGACCTGACTCTGCCGAGGCAGTCATGGCAAAGTGTGTTCATCTCATGGCCTCTAAGGGGGGTAATGTGGCTTCACATGGGCAGCCTGTGGCCTGGGCCTCAACAAAGACTGGCTGTCATCAAGACCCCCTCCACAGCCCCCTCCACAAAGGAGAATTCAAGCACTCTTCTTCACACTGGGCCACTGCTGGACAAAAGGAGAGACGGCCCCACCCTCAAATAGGGAGCTCACTTGGAGACCACCTATTTTTCCTGAAAACTTGGGAGGGGACAATCTAGAAGTGACAAAAGTACCTTCTGCCAGTTCTCTGGCAATCCGATTCAGCTCATCCTGCTTCTTTTTCTCCTCTGCTGCTATCCTCCTCTCCTCTTCTGCCCGAGGTTTTAAGTAACCTGTTGAGGGGAGCGTGTTCGATTCACTGAAAACGCTGCATAAAAGGAACTGAGTCCGCAGGTCAAGGTATCTTCAGCGATGCTGTGAACCAGATACACCTGCTGTCTACTCTCCTTTACCTCAATGCAGGACAAGGCCTGATCTTGATCCCAAAAAGAGCCCAACCCAGAAGTTACAGGGTCCCTGCAGCCCACCCCTCACGCACTTGCTCCCTAGGTCCTCTGCCAACACTCGGAGGTCCACTTGCCTCCCGTCAGACCTCAGCACTCCAACACCCGCTCACTACCAGCTTTCATCCAGAACCAGGCGCTTTCCAGTCCCTGGGCCTCAGAAGCTTTCACTGTGAGTAAGCTAATCCCAAGTCAACCCTAAATCCGCGCAGTGGCTGCGCCCCGGGGGCCAAGCCCGCTGTCGCCTCTGCGGGTCTAGGTTGCAAGATGTGTCCTGCAAACTCGCACCCCCCCCCGTCCCCTTTCTGCGCTGGGGTTTACTAAACGGCACTGGGAGTCCCACAGGTAAGACGAGCAGACCCCGGCCCTGGCCCCGCCATCACTTACGGTAGCGTGTGGCTCCATAGGCCACGCCGAGAAACAGGGCGGAGTAGCGGCCGAGCTGCAGGAGAGAGCGGTGGGAGAGGGCGGTCAGCGCAGCCGGGAACGCGGGGCGGAGCAGGAGGATCAGAGCGGGCGCGCGGCGCGGGGGTCGGGATTCGCGGGGCGGGGGCGCGGGGCAGGGGTCGGGATTCGCGGGGCTGGGGCGCGGGGCAGGAGTCGGGATTCGCGGGGCGGGGGCGCGAGGCAGGACGCGGAGGCTCAGAGCACCGGGCGGCGGCCACGAAGTCTGGTTCACCTTGATGAGCGGAGAGACCTGCACCGGCGGCACCATCTTGGCCCTGATCTTCGCACCGGAAGCACAACTCAAGGGTTGAAGAGGACGGCCCAAGGGCCCGGAAAGCCGGGAAGCAAATGTGCTCCGGAGGGGCGCACGCGCCGTGGCAGCCAAAGCGCTCCGGCGGCGCCCCCTGGTGGCTGGAGGGTGACGGTGCTCCCCGTTCATGCGCGAACGCACACCAGCGGCTGCGCACGCGCTGTGGCTTTGTGAGACGGGGTCTGAGCCGCGTGGTGTGTGCGGGCTGCTTTCCCGGGGAGGGCTCTGGCGTGCGTCCATTCAAGTTAGCTGTACACTCCTGCCTGGGAGAATACCCTACAAGCCCTGGAGCTCAGGTCGAGGGTGCTCCGGGCCGGCCCCCAGCTTCATCCCGGCCCCCTGGGCACGCAGCCCTCGGGGGTAGTGCTGGGCCAGGAACCAGGTCCCGGGGAACCGAGTGAGCCGAGCACAGGTGGGCTCGTGGGCAGGCCCCTGTGCCCCTAGGCCCCTTGCCCAATGGCGCCTTTGGACTCAGGCCGGCCGGGAAGAGCATGGCACTTTGGAGCCCTCTTCCTGCGACCGCTGTGCCTTCGGAGCGCCGACCACTGGGACCCAGGCTCCAGCCCCATAGGGAAGCTAGAGCTTCCTTACCCTGGGAGCCCTCGTCACTCCCATCCGGAGGAGGGGCTGGAGTCTTGGGAAGACCACCCCTAACACATGCTGCTCCCTTAGTCCCTCTGACTCAAGCCCTCAGGATCCCACAATCCCTCGCTCCAAGGCCTACCTCAACCCAAGCCTGGGGAACACTGTCTCTGCTAGCCTTTGCCCACCTCACAGTAGCTGCCTGTGTCCTACTGTCTCGTGGTCAGCCCTGGCAGGGGCTACCCAAAAATGAGGCCAGAGGTGTCCACAGCCTCCCAGCTGTGCCACTGTGCTGACACACCGTTCCCGTGGAAAGCAGGCCTGGAGCTTACATGGGAGCACCGCTCTTCTGGGGTTCTGGGCCCCCCCACCCCCTGCCATCAGCTTCCTTTGCCGCAACAAAGCAGTAGTGCCTCGGTCCCTCCCTGCTGCTGCCTGTGCTCCAGCCTCCTCGCCCTCCACTGCTCAGGTCAGAAACTCCTCGGAACCAAGGCTTGGGGCTCCTCTGGTGTCCTTTGCTGGGATGGGGCCCACTCTTATTCACTATCAAATCCATGTGTTTACAAAGATGACTTTTTTTTTTTTTTTTTTTTTTTTTGAGACAGAGTCTCGCTTTGTTGCCTAGGCTAGAGTGAGTGCCGTGGCGTCAGCCTAGCTCACAGCAACCTCAAACTCCTGGGCTCAAGCGATCCTTCTGCCTCAGCCTCCCAAGTAACTGGGACTACAGGCATGTGCCACCATGCCCGGCTAATTTTTTCTATATATATTAGTTGGCCAATTAATTTCTTTCTATTTATAGTAGAGACGGGGTCTCACTCTTGCTCAGGCTGGTTTCGAACTCCTGACCTCAAGCAATCCTCCTGCCTCGGCCTCCCAGAGAGCTAGGATTACAGGCGTGAGCCACCGCGCCCGGCCTTAAGATGACTTTTTTTTAAGAGACAGGGTCTCCTCTGTCACCCAGGCTGGAGTGCAGTGGCTTGATGATAGCTCATTACAGCCTCCAACTCCTGGGCTCAAGCAATCCTCCTGCCTCAGCCTCCCGAGTAGCGGGGACTACAGGCACTTGCCACCACACCCAGCTAATTTTTTAATATATATTTTGTAGAGATAGGGTCTCACTGAGTTGTCCAGGCTAGTTTACAACTCTTAGTCTCAAGCAGTCCTCCCACCTTGTCCTCCCAAAGTGCTGGGTTTGTAGGTGTGAGTCACTGTGCCTAGCCAACAAAGAGAACTTAACTATGAATCTTAAGTGAATAAAATGCAACATTGAAAACTCCAGGACACATGGCAGGTGCTCACAATCCTGTGGGAGAGGACCCCACATGAGGACCCCATGAGCCTGGCCAGCCTGGGCATACAGGGAGGTATAAGCTGCCCTCCAGTCACCTGGGCAGAGCCTGCTCCTTCTCCTGGCTTACTCAGGAGTCCAGGCCCTGGGCCTACCAGCTGGGAAATGAGAACTCATCTGCACCATTTCCTGGGCTGGGGAGAGCAGGCCAATGCTATAGGGCCACCCCACTCTTTTCTCTACCCTCTGTGAGGCTGACCTGGAACCTCTGAGGACTCCTGCCTGAGGCCTTCTTGCCTGAACCTTGTCCTCAGGCAGCCAGGAGCATGCTGTCCCTGGCCCCCCATGCTGCCTGAGGAAGTGTTGGCTACACTGATCCCACAGGGCACAAAGCACACCTTGGTGGCCATGGGTGCTGGGCTCCCCCTCCTCCCGTTCTGGCCCTTGAGCAGCTGGGCAGATGCCCTCAGGTGACACCAGGTTTTTCCTTCACTGCATTTTAAAAATAAACCACACTCCTCAGCAACTTCTGCTTCCAGAATCAAAAATAAGTGTCTCTAGGGCCTATGGTGGGGCCAAAGTGACAGGGTACGTAACAGCAGCTTTCAGGGGAGTCAGGACAGAGGCACTGGCAGAGGACACATACACACACACACACACACACACACACACACACACACATACGCTCACCCTCAGGAGTCCTCCTGAAGGCAGTGGAGACCTGCTGTGGCTCAGGAGCCTTCCTAAGAATTTGTGGGGGAGGGTCCCACCTGGCTCGGGACACTGGGGCTGCCTGCTGAGGCCTCCGCACCTGTCGGGGTCAGCTGTCGGCGCAGAATCCCGATACTCTCCCAGGGGGCTCTGTTCACATTCCTGGCAGCTGTAGGGCCCTCTGAGTGCAGATCTCAGTGTGGCAGTCCCCACTACTACAGCCCACCAGGGCCACTCAGGGTCCCACGCGAATCCTTGCCCTTGGTTCTCCAGCCCCGCCCCAGTTCCCACGTCTGGTCACCCATTCTTCCTTCTGGCAGCCTCCCCCACATCCCTCCCAGGCAGGTCAATCCTCTCCAGGGTCCTCAATTTCAGGGTGTCAGCACCTTCTGAAGACCCACTGACCCTGGGGATTGCATGTGGTGACACCTAGGGGAAACTGTGACCAGGGACCTCTGCTGCAGTAGGCGCTCCATTGGCACCTCTGTCTTTCCAGCTTTTGCAGACTCAACTCATGGTTGAGTCTCACCATGGCTGCAGACTCAACATGGTTCAGAGCATGGTCCCCCCAGCTCCAGTGGCTGCACACACTCACTCCCACCTCTTGCCCACTGCAGCACCAAGGGCTGTGCCTGCCCTGAGTCCTGCTTTCTGCTGCCCCTCCTCCCCTCCCCGCTACAGGCCCAGGAGGCTCTGAGGGCTTGTTCTACAGGCTTCAGGCCCCACCTGCCCACGTTGCTCAACCTGCAGGCCTCCTCCTTAGTCCTTGGTCTGCACACCCACCCTGGACCAGGGCATCTGGGTTCTGACCCTGACGTGGGTTCTGACCCTGAGGTGGCCTCTGACATCTGGCACTACCAAATGGCCCCCAGGCCAGGTCCCCTGCCCAGACTCTGCCCACAAGGCTACGGTGTAGTAGGAAGACCTGGGCCCTGGTCCAGGACAGGCTGGACACCTTCAAGGCTCTTACAAGCCAGTAATGTCATGTCCCAAGGGCCAGGCTAGGGGCTTCTGGCCATGAGGACAGAATGAGGGGGGTCCCAGGGCCAGGGGTGTGGGCTGTTATCTGCTACTGAGGCAGGGAGGTGACGACAGTGCCACAGAAACTGCTGACACACAGAATGTGCTCTGCAAAGGCTTGCTGACCAGTCCCTGGGGCCACTCACAGCAACTTTGTGCAAATCTGGAAAAGCTGCCCCTTTCTCTGGCCTCTGGAGTTCCTGCAGCCCTGGTAGGCCTTAGGGTACCCCAGCAAGCCCTCAGCTCCTCAGCCAAGAATGTGTGCAAGTGGCTTTCCTGGTCAGGGCAGGGAGAAACCAGACTTTCCTGGGTGGGGCAGGATGAGGGTGACTGAGTCACCACTGGGCTGCTGAAGCTTACTCTGCAGTTGTCCAGTCCCCTGGGGTGGCCTTAAGCCTGTCCTTGTAGGGAGTGGCAGCCAAAGTCTGAGCTGTCCTGGGGGACCAGACAGGAGCTTAAGATGGGCTAAACCTGGGCAGGGAGGAGCACAGAGGGATCGCATCAGGCAGCCCAGGCATGGTGAGGGTGGCCAGGCAGGCACTGCAGCAGGGGCGTGTGTATGCACAGGAGTGTGTTTAAATGTGTGTGCACACTTGCATGAGCATGTGTGCATATGTAAACATGCACATGAGTGTGCATGTGTAGGTATGGATGTTGGGGGGTGAGAGAGATGTGCCCCATGCTGCCATGGTGACAGTCTGGGGCAGGATAGAAGGTCCTAGCCATCATGGAAGCCCAGTGCCCAGAATAAACCCACCCACAGAGTTCATCTGCCCCTCGAGCCCTCAGAGGCTAAGCTGGCTCCTGCAGAGCTGTGAGCTGAGCCACTACCCTTCCCCCACTCCCTATGCCAATGCCAGACACCTGCAGCTGCCCCCAAGGCACCCAGGCTTGGGGCAGGTGTGCTCCCCAGCTGCCCGGCCCCTCCAGCCCCAAAGGCCTGCCTCTGAGTTCAGTAGCCCAAAACTCAGGGTGCCACAGAAGTTTCCCCCAGCCAGCCAGGGGACCTTCAGCCTCGGTTCTCTCATCTCAGGCCAGCAGAAAGACCAAGAAGAAGGAAGGGGGGGGGGCCCTTCGTGCCCAGAGGGCATCATCCAATGTCTTCTCCAACTTTGAGCAGACTCAGATCCAGGAGTTCAAAGAGGTGAGACTTCCTCCTTTCCCTAGGAGCCCTTTTTCCCAGAAGCTTGCGCTGGGAAGACCCCCATGTGGGCCTCACTCCAGAGCCAATAGGAATGGGAGCCTGTCTTCAACCCAGGGCTGAGGAGCTGGGGGACGAGGGCAGGGGTGGGACTGGCTGGCCACAGCACAGCGACCCTGGCCTCGGTCCCCAGGCGTTCACACTCATGGATCAGAACCGAGACGGCTTCATTGACAAGGAGGACCTGAAGGACACCTATGCCTCTCTGGGTAGGTGCCGGGGCAGCCCACAAAGGAGGCCAGCAGGGAACATCCACTTGGACACCCTCACCCTCCTCCTTGAGTGGAGCCAGGGCAATGGCCTCAAAGGCTGACCCATATCCCCGCAGGCTGTGAGGGGTGGCTGCAACCTCCCGGTTTGGTCAGACCTAGCAGACAGCATCCCAGAGTGAGACAGGCTGGGTGGCACAGCCCAAGCATGAAAACCCAGGGTGGGCTGTGGGGCAGGGGGCTCCGGGGAGGGTGTGAGACACCCCCTCCTCTGCAGAGCAGACCCCGAGTGCTGTGTGGCCTTGCCCGGCCACCATTCCTCACCAGGGTCGTCCTGTTCCCAGCAGCTGCCTCTGGCGCGAGGTCCTGCTGTGGGAGCTGGGGACTGGTTTCCACCTGGGTGGGGGTCATAGGTGACCCACCTTCGGTTGTAACAATGGTAGATCAAAGTGTCTCCAAAGGTCTATGCCTCCTCTGCTCTTGCCCTCAACACTAGTCTCCAAGGCTCAGGGTTTGGGGTGAGACTGACACACCCCACCCTGCACCCTGACAGGCTAAGCACCTCCCATCCCCCCTCCTTTGGCACTGCTCTGGGGCCACCTGCCCACCTGCTGGTGGGACAGCAGACATATCAGCAAGGACCAATGGGGCAGAGTGGGGTCCTCCCCAGTGACACTTGCCCCGTGCCTGCCATAGGCAAGATCAACGTGACGAGCTGGATGCCATGCTTAAGGAGGCCTCAGGGCCCATCAACTTCACCATGTTCCTGAACCTGTTTGGGGAGAAACTGAACGGTGAGTGCCTGGGGCCAGCTCCTCCTCCTCCTTGGGTGGGGCTCCTGACACTTAGAAATCCCGACATTTCACATGAACGTCCACAATTTCTGATCTCTTAATGGGAAGCCCCAGGACCTGGCATTCTGGGGCCCACTTTGGTAGGGCCTCTGTTGGCCACCCCAGAGTGTGTGCGCTCAGACACTCACTTCCTGCCCCACACCTGCTGCCTGCCCAGCTGGCAAGGGCTTGGTCCTTCCTCACAGAGCACTAGCCTTCAACTCCAGGCCTGGGCTAACCCTGGGGCTTCTAGGCTGAAGGTGCCACGTGGACCGAGGCTTGGAGCCCTGGGAACAGGGCTGGTCTCCCTCCCTGCCCTGTTTTTCCTTGGCAGCCTGGAGCAGGACTGGGAGCCCAAATGCCTAGGGCTCAAGGCCTCTTTGTGGGCAGGTACAGACGCTGAGGAGACCATTCTAAATGCCTTCAAGATGCTCGACCCCAAGGGCAAAGGCAGCATCAACAAGGAATACTGAGTGCCAGGCTTTGGGCAGTATGTTGGTCTCCAAGGGCTCCCTGATGGCCTCCCCCACTAGGATCTGAGGGACACTGCCTCAGAGAGGGATTGTCAGTTACCTGGACGCCAAGCCCCCATCCCCCACCCCACCTCTGACCAGCTGCATGGCCTTGAGCAGCTATCCCAGGTCCTGAGTCCTGGGGATAACTAAGTGGAGACCAACCTGCACAGGCACCAGGCACCCCAGGTGGCCATCGTTCCTCCAACCTATGCTGTCTTTAGCCCCTTTTATGGAGAGTTTCCTGGTGCCCAGAGCTGGGGAAAGGGGATATTCTGGTGTACAGGCACTGCCTCCGGTCTCCCTTAGTCTTCCTTCCTATCAGAAGCCCCCAGGCAAGCCACTCAGGAGTGATGATATCTACCTGGTGACCTCAGAGGTGCCACGCCTGCAGGGGAGGGTGCGGGTGCAGCATGTGGGCCCCACCCTCTGGTCTCTACAGCACCCGCACCCTAGGGGTCACCCCTCCTGTCAGCACCCTACCCACGCCTTTTCTCAGAGCCTAACTGGGCTCCTTCATCTCCCTGTTCTCAGCATCAAACGTCTGCTGATGTCCCAGGCTGACAAGATGACTGCAGATGAGGTTTGGCCGCAGCCCCTGCCCGCTTCCCCCACAGCCCTCTCTCAAGCAGGGCTCCCGGGTCTGCCAGGGGAGGCGCTGGCCCCCAGAGGCTGCAGCGCCTCGGCCCTTCAAGTGCTCATTTGAGAGACGGAACTGCTCAGGGGGATTAGGTCAGCGGCTGGAGGCCACCCCGCGGCCCGTGCCGTCCGTCCTGGCCTGAGGGGCAGGGCTCACAGCAATGCTGTCCCATCCCCCGCCCCCCATTCCGCATGCCCCGCGCCAGCAGCGCGACCACAGCCCTCCCACCTGCTAGGACCCCATTCGCGACCACAGCCCTCCCACCTGCTAGGACCCCATTCGCCGCACACCTCACATAGCCCTCCCCACGGGGCTGCACACCTGGGCACTGCTGACCAGCTTGGGAATGGGGGACGGACTGTGGGCTCAAGTCAGGTAGAAGACCCCGGCGCTCTGTTTGCCCCTGCCCCGCCCCTCTGGCCCCTCCCTCACCCCTCTGGCCCCTCCCTCACCCCTCTGGCCCCGCCCCGCCCCTAGGCCCCTCCCTCGCCCGGCGCCCTCCCCGCCCCCGCGCAGCAGTCAGACTAGGAGCGAGACCAGAGCGGCCACGGTGCATTCCTGGGTTGTAATCGCGACCCAACTCGCGCACTGCTCGCAGGTCGACCAAATGTTCCAGTTCGCCACCATCGACGCGGCGGGCAACCTGGACTACAAGGCGCTGAGCTACGTGATCACCCACGGGGAGGAAAAGGAGTAAGGGCCCCGCCGGCCGCGCCCACTCAATAAATGTGCACCTGCAGACCGCCTCCAAGTGTCCCCCTGGGGCACGGAGTGTGCGCGGCCGCCGGCTGGGACCAGCTGTCCCGGGCTAGCAGCGGAGGGGGCTCCCTTCACCCGGCAACTCCAGACTCGGCCATGAGGGGCCCTCAGGACCGCACCCTTGCGCTGCACCTCAGCTGTACTCCCGTGCCACACCGGCCCCCACCTTCCGCGCGGCCGCTGCGCCGCCCTCCCAGCGCGCCTGTCTGGCCTGCCTGGGCAGCAGCTCTTCTCCGTGCAGCCACAGGGTCTGCCCTGCCTGGCGATGCCCTGGGTGCCCCAAAGCCTCTGAGTTTCTGTGGCAGGCTCTCAGCCATGGCCAGCACAGCCAAGGTGGCCCACACCTGCCCCCAGCGTCCCCTTCACAAGATGTCCCTGGTCAGAGTCTCTCGGACCTTGGCGGCTCCTGGAGGGGGGAGGCAGGGCCAGAAGAACTGACTGGAGTGTGTGCGTACTGGGAGCCTCCAGGGGTGATTTCAGAGTTGGATGTGTGGTCCTCAGCTCCTGGGCACATGTTCTGGGTGGAGGGGGACACACCACACTCGGCCCTCAGGCGCCGGTACGGGGTATGGAAGAAGAGCACCAAGACACAGCTGAAGAGGGCGCACAGGCCGGCCATCAGCAGCAGGGACCCTGGGGACACAGCACACAGCTCTGTCTGCACAGCCAGAGCTCCCCACATGAAAGCACAGCCAAGCGTGGTGGCCACTGATGGGCAGATGTGATCCCGGCCCATGCAGACCCCACTAACCAAACCATAGAGCAACCCTGGAAACAGACCCTGTTCTCAGCCTCTGGCAGACCCCTAAGGGTGAGGGGGTGTTTGCAGTCCCAGGTTCCAAGAGCTGTAAGCTCTGAAGTCACCAGCACAGGGTCTCAGGAAATGGGTGTGCAACCCCACCTCTGATCTCTGCCCTACTCCCCTCTCTGTCCATCTCTCTGTCTCCCTCGCTGTCTCTGTCTCTCTCCCTTTGTCTGTCTCCCTCCATCTTGTCTTTCCACTCTCAGATCTCTGCCACCATACCTCTGTCTCTTTCCCTCTCTTTGTCTCTGTGTCTGCCTGTCTCTATCTCTCTCCCTATCTTTGTCTCTGTGTCTCTGTCTCTCTCCCTATCTCTGTCTCTCCCCCCCTTCCACTCTCAGATCTCTGCCACCATGTCTGTTTCACTTTCTCTTTCTCTGGTTTAAAACAACTCACATTGGCATTTGGGCTTTTGTCAGGGTCTCTGGGCTTCACCCACCATGCTGACCCCAGGGGTTCTGCCTGTTGACCTCTGACCCCACCAGCACCCACACACTGAGGAGAGCCAATGGGGCAGAGAGGCAGGGCATGGAATGGGGGCTCCTGAGCTGTTCCAACTGGGCAGGCTTGGCTTGGCCTCTGCTCCCCGGGGCTCCCAAAGGGGCACTCACCTGTCCAGTCAAGGGGGTCTTCGCCATGCTTGCAGGTGGAGAATGACGGCTCTCGGCGACGCACAGTCAGCGCCATCAGCGCCACCATGATAAGTACACCCTCCACCTGCCTGGACACACATGGCCTTCAGCCCCTGCCAGCATCACTGCCCACCTACCAGAGCCACATGCCACCTTGGAAAGGGGCCAACACCTGTACCACCCACCGTGCCACTGGTCACTCCGAGGGCAGTGCACAGCTCTGGCTGGCATGGGCCCCCTTGGCTGGCCCAGGTGCTTAGTATGCGGTCAGCCCTTGCCAGAGCAGGCAGGTCTCTCAATTCATAGAAAAGGGGCCTGGGCTGTGCAGCCTGAGGTGGGACAGGGGAGGGTCTCTGGGCTCCCAGGGTGCAAGGGGGCAGATGGACACTCACCCCAGCACAAAGACCAGGCCTGCAGCAGCACCCTCCCCTACAGGGAAGGAGCACTCCACTGCCAGCTCCATGGCCACGGGCGCCACCGAGAAGCCAAAGAGCCCGAGCAGTGAGCAGATGGCGGCCAGGGCAAGGGTTTGTCCCTGCAGCTGGGACACCTGAGGGCAGCAAGCGGCAGAGGATGGGGGCACGGTCAGATCCACCGGCCCTGGGCAGGCAGCAGACTCGGCTGCATGGGTGCAAGGAAGCCCCACCCCACCCAGGGGCCACCCCAGCAGGCAGGAGCTGGGCCTGAGAGGCCCAGACATCTATTCCAGCCAAGCTGCCCACTGCCCCGTCCAAGGTCTCACAATCCAGCCCCTCTACTCAGGACACCCTCTCCCACCCCGGCGTGGTCTCAGCTTGAGGGCACTCTCACCAGGGCAAAGGCCACGCAGGCCAGAGAGGTCAGGCAGAAGCTAATCTTGGTGGCCTCGGTGAAGCACTTGGTCCGGTCCACATAGATACCGAGAACCAGCGCCCCCAGAATTCCAAACACGATGAAAAGAGCCCCACAGAGGCCTGAAAACTCCTGGAGGAGGAGAGGAAAGGCTGGGGCAATTTATTGGGGTAGGGAGCTGCCAGGGGCTCAAGAGGCGGCCAGCATCCTTAGGAAGTACACTGTCACCAAGGGGCTCATGGTGCCTGAGGCCCAGGCATGACAACACAGGCTATAGCTGTGCTATTGGCTGCCTGCTGGGGTGGGAGGGGGTGTCCTATTCCATGCCACCCCCTGCCCCAGGATCAAAACAATTGCTAAAGGGAAGTCCCCACCCCATGGGTCCTTAATGCCTCTGAGCCCCTGGCAGAAGTAGAAATATGTCCCTTGAACCCCACACCCAGCACTGATGCCAGAAAGCAGAAGGCAGAAGCCAAACGTGTACACACAGATGCACATGCACATGCCACACATGTGCACAGGAACACACAGACACACCCAGCACTGATGCCAGAGGGCAAAGGGCACAGCCTGGAGATACATGGGCAGAGCAAGGCTCCCATCTGCATTCCTAAATACTGAGGGTGGCCCTTCCCTGGAGCCCTGCAGGGTTGGGCCTGTAGGAAGGGGGATCGCAGAGTCCACACAGAGAATCCCGGGGCTGCCACCTTCCCATCCAACCCCCAACCCCCTCCCACAGCCACCACCCCCACCTCACGCAGCCACACCGGGCAGTGGGAGGCAGAGCCCCTCTAGGGCGGGGCCCAGGGCTCACACTGGAGTAGCCTCTCTCGCAGAAGATCTGCTCCAGAAGGGCCATGAGGCTGGAGAAGATCCCAGTGCCGCCTCCGAAGCACACAGCCAGGAGGATATACGCCTTGTTCCGCAGGAGCTAGAGGGGAGGGGCTGCTCAGACCAGGGTGGGGGCACCCTCCCTGGCCTCCTGCTCCCACCCAGGTCCACCCTGCCCCATCCCACAGCACCAACCAGCTTGAGCCCGTCCAGGAACTTCTCTGAGGTGGAGCTGGCAGCCCCGGCGGAGGGTGGGGTGGGGGGCACACTCTCCCAGAGGCAAGTGGTGGCCAGCAGGCAGGCGAGGCCAGCAGGGATGGCACAGACGCCCAACTGGGGAAAGGGTATGCGTGTGCACAGGAGGCCACGTGGACACACACGCCCCACGTGGCGCCCCGGCCCTGCTCTGGACTGCCAGCAGCACACTCTACACTCTCCCCAGTCACTCCTGCCCACACTCGGGCGGCCGCTGAGTTCCAGGCCCTGAGAGCTGCTCTGCTTCCTCCACGCCTGCCACGGGGCATCATGAGGAGCCCTGGCTTTCCGCAGACTGTCAGGGATGGCTCCCTCCTTGAAAACGCCAGCCCGACCTCCCCGGGCACCAGACTCCGCATCTAACTGCCTGCTGCACACCCACATAAGAAGAAGGTCTTAACATAGCCAGGTGTGTCACACGGACAGGTGTGAGGACACAGGTATGCATATGTGTACACACTCACACCACACACATGCATGGGTATACACATATATGCACACAATACATATACATAAGCATACACATGCACACACCACACATGTGCACAGGTATGCACACACAGCACACATGCACCATACATATACATGTGTAAGCACACACCACATGTATGCACACACATGCAACACCATACACATGCACAGCACACACATGCTCACACTACACACATGCACATGTATGCACATACAGCACACATGCACCATGCATATGCATGCGATACAGACACACATGCACAGGCACACACATGCTCACACCACCATGCATGTGCACACAGACACACATACCACACATACGCACAAGCACACACTCATACCATACACATGCACAGGTATGCATAAACACACATATTATGCATGTAGCATACATAAGCATGTGTGTCATACATGCACAGAGATACACACACACACCATACATATCCACAAGCACACACATGGACACACCATACATGTACAGGTATGGATACACACCACACACAGCATACATGGACCACACATATACATGTGTATGCACACACAACATGCACAGCACACACATGCTCACACCACACACGTACATGGCTAAACAAAGAGAGCACACATGCATGATACATATGCATGTGTGTGCACACACATACACAGGTGCCACATGAGCTCTCTCACCATAATGGGAATGTCCTCTCCCTTCTTGACCAGTGCAGGTGACAGCACATTAGCCACAAGGATGCCCAGGGGGTTCGCTGGATGGACAGAGAAACACATCATCTTAGCTGTGTCCAGGCCACAGGCAAAGCCTTTTTGGCGCTAGTCCCTTGCACCAGCTGGAGAGCCAGGGCAGCAGAGGATCTGAGCACAGGGCCAGAGGGGACCCAGGTGGCCTCACCCCTGGACTCACACATGGTGGCGATCATGTTGGCCGTGGCTCGCTGGTGCTCTGGGAACCACAAGGCAGCCAGCTTGGCTGGAGAGAAGATGACCAGGGTCTGGGCCAGGGCACAGAGGCTCTGGCCACCCATGAAGAAGGTGAATGGGTGGAGGGTCCCAATGGCCATGCAGGGCAGGGTACGTAGCACACTCCCAGCGAAGTTCAGCCAGGCGCCCAAGATGGTCTGTAAGGATGGGGTCAGGAGTGCTGCCAC